TATTACACTCAATAATCAATCATCTGATACAATTGAAGAGTCTGAACAGTTATCTTATATATTAAACTTCACTGTGTTCTAACATTCTGTATTATATTCAGTAATGTGACTGATTTGTTTATTTATTGAATATCATGAAATTGTTGTTATTATTTAGAGGAGGTATAAATCACATTAGCAATGTTTCAAATCTGTGATATTTAAATTATTAGTCAATCTATTCAAAATTAACAGTAGTGTTATTAAAAAGTGTTATTAAAAAATATTATCTTTTACAAAGTGAATATAAAAGTTACTTGAGTAACTACTTTCATCTCATTCTCATCTCAAGAATCAGTCATCTCATTATTCTTTATCTTGATATTAAGATTCTTTATCAGTGTTTGTATCACAAGTTGAATCACATGAGTAATACAGAGAATATGACCTTATTTATCATTTCAGAAATACAAAGTCAATTTTTACTTTAAGCTCTTCATCATAGTATAGTTATTCACAGCATTGTCAGTTGTAATTGTAAGAAGACTGAGACTAATATTTTAATAGTTATTTTTAATCACAGTTATTAATATCTCTGTCATATAATTCTCAGTATGACTACTGATTAATGATTTAAATTCAATTAATATCTCTTAATAAGTTCAGTTCTCATCAATGTAATAACATGTAACTCTTATAAATGCAAGATTGTTTATACTAGTTCATGCATTCACTGTGAGAGACACTCTTCAATGATTCTTCAACTCTGATTCTAGATATTATATATTAACTTTGTAGTGTGTCTCAAGATTGAACTGAAGACAGAATCAATATAGAATATGAAGATTTAAATTAAGTATTTAAAGAAGTGTTCAGAATTCAGAGTTTTCAATTAATTGAAAAGAAAGATTCAGAGATATACACATGTAAAGTAATTATTTACAGAAGTTATTAGATAAGAGTTGTGAAATCAGAGTACTGATATATAATTATTTTCACATGATTTTCTTCAAATTAGAAAGTTAGTATTATCAAAAATTATTATCTGATAGAGTAATTTATCAGCTCAGTAGTAATTTTCTGATTATTTTTCTTTTATTACCTGCATTCAGATGACTTCAGATGTTAGAAAATTTCTTCAGAGTTATAATTAGTTTATAATAAATGTTTCTGAATGAAGTTATAGTGATTATAGTAGAGAGATGACTCTTCAGTAATCTATAATATAATCTGTTAATAATTATTCTATAGTTCATCTCAATATTTGTGTTGAGTTTTTCATAAATTTCATGACCTGAAATCAGATATGAAGAATGAAGTGATTATTTATTATAATTGAAAGAGAGCATTCTATGTTGAATTGTAAATAATATAGACTTTATAATTCATAGTGATTTCTTGAAGAGTTTATGAATCTTCAATAGAAGTAAAAGAAGTGAAAGAAGTGAATTCAGAAGATATAATAATAATTTAAGAAAGATAATAATTTATTTTTAATCACTGATCACTGATATGTGTAAGAAGAATTAATATAAGAGAAAATAATCTTATTTCTTAGCTTAGTTATAATTTTAGTACTAACTCAGATTGAATATCATTGATATATAAAAGTAAATAAACAATCTTGATTAATCTCTGTTATATTTCTTGAAATATATTAATATTATGAAAGAGAGTGTTACTAAATTATATTATCAGATAATATTATTAAAAATATATTAATATTATAAATATCAATATTGAAAAAATGTTGATACTTATATATTATAGTGATTTATAAATCATGATAGTTAAATATATATATATATATATATCATTTCTGACTTGATTACAACTTGTACAATAATTTTTGAAAACTCAAAATCAATTTTAATTATTAATAATTAAAAACTTAAACTTATAACTAACTAATATAAAAAGAAAAAAATCTACTTCTTCTCTTTCTCATTCTTCTTATTATTCTTCATAATTTACTTCTCATTCTTCTTCTTCTTCTTCTTCTTATCTGAGATGATAATCATCTCAAAATCTCTCTCTGCTACCTTCTCAGAGAAGAGTTCTCACTGCTTTCTCTCAGCCAGGTTAACCTGTGTCTCAAAATTCTGCATTTCCTGATCTGCTGCCTCAGGTTCCATCTCAGTGATAAGTAGATTAGCATGCTCAGAGAGCAGAGCTGTCTTCTCAATATTCTGAATTATGAAGTGCATTTGAGATCTGAATAAGACCTCAATTCTCTTCTTCTCTGTCAGCTTCTGCTAATCAATTAGAGAACAGAAGTATTATCAAAAATTATTATCTCTCAATAATTAAAAAACTTATCAGTTTTAACTTCTTTATCTTCTACTTTAACACTCTCTCAATCTTCTTCTATTATCACTTATTTATAGTAACACTTTTCTTCTCTCTCTCTCTCTTTATCTTAATCTCAAATTATTCTCAGAACTTCTTCTGATCTTATTACTACTGTATAAGACTCTTCACTGTCTTCTTCTTCAATCTCTTATAGATGACATTATTCACATTATTTCTATACTTAGTTCAGTCTAAATCTATCAGAAGTGTTACTTAAAATTGTTATTATTCTACTCTCTTACAGAGTCTCTTCAAGATATTATAATGTATCTTATAATCTGTCTTCTCTTACTTAAATACTTTCTTCTTCTCTCTCTTCAATCTGTAATAATGCTCACACACCTTGATGATCCGCAGAATCACAGAATATTTAAAGAGAGATAACATGATTGATTTTAATAAGTGTTGAAGAGAGATGAAGACAGAAGAGATAGTCAGAAATGATATAATAATGATAATAATAATAATAATAATGATAATAATAGTAATGATGATAGTAATGATAATGATGATAATGATGATAATAATAATAATGAAAGAAAGAGTGCATTGAAATATATTACTGACTTATTAAATATAAAGAGACTTAAAGAAAATATTAATAGCTTTCAGTGATGTACAGAAACAGCTACAGTATTATATAGTAATATTATCTTTATTCAATACATACACTGTTGATATTCTTTGTATACAGTTATTATATAATCTGTATCAGAGATACATACAGAAAACAGATCTTTGTTACTAGAATAAATAATTACAGTAATTCTCTGTTTTTATATTATAATAATAAGTTATTCTCATTTCTTTCTTCTCTCTTTTCTCTTCTTCAATTAATTACTAATTTCAAACTGGTATGAAAACTATTAAAACACTCTCAGAAACTCTCAAATTGAAGAGTATAGACTAATTAAATTTTAAATATAGAAGAAATCAAATTATCTTCTATAAATTCAATTACTTATTTTCTCTTAAATAAAACAGCAGTTGTGTTTCTTCTTCTTCTTAATTAAATAAAGTATAGCCTGTGAAAAGTGAGTATCACATTAGATTATAATGATCAACACAGTCTCAGCACACAGAGCTGTATATACACAGTGTATACTGAACTGAGAGACTGTATAAGTTGCAAACTGACAGCAGCATTTCAGAAAGAGTTATACAGTGTGAGAAAGCTGTAACTCTCAGTTATATATGTAGAGAATGAATTACTGCAGTAAGTGTATATGTATTGAAGTAACACTTTTTAATAATACTCAGTTTCTGATATAATGAAAATAGAGTCTCTTTATGAGATTCATTTCTATCAGAAGTCAGAGAATCTTATATTTCTTAAGACTATCTTCACATATCTTATCTGTGAAATTGATGATAGAAATCATTGATTTCAGTATTCTATTCTTGATATTATTCAAGTAACAGAAGAGTTCACTCTGATTATACTTTTTAAGTGTATATTTTCTAATTATTCACATTTATATAGATATATACTAATTATTTATTAGATGATATTAAGATAATAACTTATTACAGCTGTGTTATTCTCACTGTGAGAGATATATAATTAATAATAAATATTATAAAGACTCTGAGAAGTAAGTATTTTAAGAGTATTACAGCTCTGTAATCTTAATTATTTTTTATTTTTATTTTTTATTTTTTTCTTTTTCTTTTATTTTTTTTTATTTTTCTTTCTCTTTCTATCTTTTTTTTTCTTTCTCTTCTTTTTTTCTTTCTCTTTTTTTTTTTATTGTGATTTTTTCTTGTTATTTTATTTTGTGTTTTTTTATTATTTTTTATATTTTACATTTTACATTTTTTTTTTTAATTAAAATGATATTAATTATAATCTGTGTTTAGAAAAGTAATGATATTTAATAATACTCTTTATTAAATTTTCAATAAATGAGTACTATGTTATAATATTATATAAGTGAAAAATAATTTCATAGTCTTATTTAATATCATTTTTAATAATGAAATTAGAATGAAAATATAACTAAGAATTCAAATATATTCTTTATCTGAGACTAGATTTTTATTTGAAAAGTGAATCTGAGATCTTTAATATTTAAAATAATGAGATTTGAAATCAATGTAATGAATATAAATTATGATCAGAAGTAATACTTTTAGACAATATAATAACTATAAAGTTTGATTCTGGTTTCAGACACAGTCACACAGTCAGTCTAATTATCAGACTGTCAGTAGTTTAAAAAACAGTATTATATAATATTTTAATACAGAATAGTGATAAAAATAATAATTATTTAGTATATAAGTCTTGAGTAATAAGATATTTACATTATAATTAAGATATCTTATTTCTTTAAATAGATAGTTAATGAATAGCAGCTGAATAATAGATAATGAGTTTAATAGTATATTGATTTTACTGATAGAATAGTATACAGTGTCTTATAATATCTCAGTAGTATTCTGATAATGATATCTATCAATTACACAGTTACTGAGTAGTGTTATGATGATGTTAGAAAGTTCTGTACTATCTCAACACTATCTTAACATTTAATATTCATTGACATGTCACTGAATATAATGATGGAACATGTGTTACAATCAGCGACACGTGACACAGGTGGAATGGTGGATCCACAGTGTAATCACCGTAAATTAACCCTACGTTCTTCCCGTAAGGATGTTAGTACAGACACTCTGCCCACTGAGCAGTTGTGATATTGAGGCTGTACTTTTTAAAAAAAGTGGAGATCTGTATGAAAAGAACGAGTACACACGGCCGCACTGAACAGGCCCTTACTGTGTACAGAGTACTCTGTACAATACGGAGCAATAATAATGAATCCATGTAAAAAACGTGCCTGTCAAGCGGTTCGAGAGCGGTTCGTTCGATCTTGAGCTCAGGAAAACTTTAGTCATAGGAAATGGCCCAACTGTGAAAAAAGCCGACTCTTCAGGGATCACTTCAGGCGTGTTCGGACAATCTTGTACCCTTTAAGCGACCTTACACACCCTATCCAACACTGTTTGCATGAAAAAGGCCTTGTGTTCATTCTGCCACCACCCTTATCTCTTTTTTTTTCTTCACTTACACATGATTAGACTTCAATCATGCAATATTAAACTTCAACAGAGTATTTAGTCTGAATAGTGAGGGTTGTAACTGAAATAGACAAGGTGAGGAGTGTTTCAGGTCATGTATACTCCGTACAGAGTACTGTCAGGTCAATAATGGACATCTTGTGGAAAGTTGCAGTACGTACTAACTACGTAGTGAGGCAGGTCATATTCCTTGCTTAAATATGACACCAGCAGTATGCTAATATCCACTTTTCGCGAGTACAGACTTGTACGTGCGAACACGCCCTTAATAATAATAATATCCGACCAGGCGAGTTCTCTTGTCCACATGGGGGAAAATAGAGAATAGCCCCGCCGGCCTCAACAATCGCGCTGATTTTAGTGACATACGCACCGCACGGTACGGTACTCATGAAGCCGCCGACCCGACCTACAGCGTAGATTTAAACGCTCAAATGGCCGAGGAGTGTTTTTCTGCGCTTTTGGGGAGTCACCCAGTAGCCGTGGCGCTCCTAGCTGCAAGGGCCTTTGCAAGGGTCTGAATAGGCGAGATTGCCCATGTGTTTTCCCCCCTGATATCAACACCCATTGTGAGGGCGAACACCCTAACGTTAGGGGATGCATGCTGGTTCTTAATTGAAGAGCTCCATGTTCCTCTTCCTTTTCGTCGCGACAAACCCCATGCAGACAAGCCTCACGGGTTTCAACGGCGAGCTTTTCTCCCTCACTTTCAGAATTTGGGTTCTTCTTGTTCGTATAGTTGGACAAGGCTACAGCTTAAAGATTGGCATATAGACGCAGGAAGCGAACCTTAACAGCTATGAAGCTTCTCCTACAGCTCCTGGCAGCATGCTGCATTTTTGTTTCAATGGCGCTTGGTGATTCTGAACCAAGCGCTGCGTTGATATCACCCGAAGATAAAGTTATTATCGATGCGTTGGCCGACTATGGTGTGGACGTACTTGGTCTCGTCGATCCATCCGAGCTTGCTCAATCAACAAAAAGGTCTCTATCCATTCCAGCTGAAATTACTGTACGTATATTCGTTGAGCCACCGCCAAATTCGAGGGCTGTGATCTTTATCTTTGGCTAACCATTAAAAGTGCCATGTGCTCTCCGGAATTTTCCCACTACAAGTTTACTTGAAGGACACGCCTCAATATACAGAATGGCGCGGCCTCTTCTGGTCGCAGCAGCAATCGGAATCCAAACCTGCCTGTATCTTCCAACCCACTTCGAGCAGTCAGGTCGCCATCGTCTTGTTGATGGCGCGTCTATTGAACTGTCCATTTGCGGTGAAGAGCGGCGGCCACGCCGCTTTTTCTGGAGCGTCCAGCATCCCAGACGGTTTAACCATTGATCTGCAGCGCCTAAACACGATCCAGGTGGCCTCGGATAGGAAATCTGTCAAGATTGGCCCTGGAAACCGCTGGCTTGACGTTTATAAAAGTCTTGAGCCTCACGGTCTGACCGCTGTTGGTGGCCGTGTGTCTAATATTGGTGTGGGGGGCCTGACACTCGGAGGTAAGCTACTCGGGAAGTGCCTGTGACGTCTAATTAATATGTTCCCTTTTCAACTTTAAAACCGCTGATTGTTCTTATTGTCTCCCTTTTCTGCTAGGTGGCATTTCTTTCTACTCAGCACAGTACGGCTTCGCATGCGACAACGTAAATAATTTCGAGGTTGGTCATTCGTGCTCTGTTCATCATCTTCGTTCATTCTAGCCATGCTTCCTTTTAGATCTGGGACTCACATTGGTTCAGGTTGTCGTCGCCGATGGTCGCATTCTCAATGCCAACCCTGAAAGCCATCCAGATCTATACTGGGCTCTTCGAGGCGGTGGTAATAACTTTGGCATTGTGACACGTTTCGACTTAGCCGCGTATCCCGCTGGGGACCTATGGGCCGGCTCACGGATATACCTAGCGGATGACAACACCCGAAGACTCCTTCTTGACGCTGTGGTTAAATTTGCCAAAGACTGGCCCTCCGATCCCAAGGCTGCATTGATTTGCAACTTCGCATATGCCCAAGGCATGTTCGTTGCAGCTATCAACATAGAATATACGGAGGCCGTGGAAAATCCACCAATTTTCAGCTCCTTCGAAGCAATCCCCCCAATGATAGATACTTTGGGCATTAAGTCTCTATCAGATGTTACCCTTGAATTCAAGGAGAGTAATCCAGACGGCCTGCGTCAAAACTACTGGACTGTCACAGTCAACCTCGACATCGAGATGCTCACCTTTGCTGTGGACGCATACATGGCCGGCGTTGATCCCATCAAGAATGTTACTGGTATCGTTCCAGCGCTCACCTTGCAAGCCATCACGCCCGCTATGATCGAAAAGATGAGTAAGAATGGGGGTAACGCGCTTGGCCTGGATTCGTGTGGGAAACCCCTTCTCCTCGTGCTGGTAAACGTTATGTGGGCCGACAAAGCGGATGATGAGGCCGTTCTCAAGGCCATTTCTAGCATCATTAATGCGATCAAGTCTGAGGCCAAGTCTCGCGAAAAGCTCAACCGATTCATCTACATGAACTACGCCAGTCAGTTCCAGAACGTGGTTGAATCATATGGCTCCGCAAACCATGATCGTCTGGTGGAGGTGGCAAGGAGATACGATCCCTCTCAGGCTTTCCAGAAGTTGCAACCCGGGCATTTCAAGCTCACTGGAGCTCCAGATAGCAATCCTCCTGCTAGCTCACCTCCTGCACGGCTATGATGGGCTATGGATTGAGTTTGACTGTCACCTGTATACATAATATCATCATCTTTCATATGTCAAATTTTAATAATATAGCTCTTTTTTTTTCATATAGATATGGGCCTGTCAGCCACAGCATTCCTTTGAGCACAAGCTCTTCTGGCTGGGCTTCTCTTCCTTTATTCTTGCCACTCAAGTGCTTGCTTTGGTGCCGTCACTTGAATGGCAGCATCAAAAGCTTCTTGGTCCGCCCATCCCGACCTAGCTCTACCTTGCCGCTTGGCAAGATATTGGGCTGCCTACTGCCTATCGAAAGACTAAATATAGGCATCCCCCGGGTGGAATATCAGACCCGGGTCAAGGACCAAGGCATACGCCGGACCAGCCTTATGCCAGAAAATCTGATACTTGGCTCTCTGCCAACATCGTCATAGGCATTTTTTTGGTGGCCGCGCCCCTTCACGTCATGTATTTCCAACTTGGATCAACAAGCAGGGGTTATCCATGCCTCTCCGGCGCTAGATAGTCACGCGGGAGATCAAAAGCTGATAGCTGGATCCCGGTTGTTTCTAACAGGATGCTAATAGTGACAACGGGTGCTCCATGCCCTTATGTGTTTTCCTAAGACAATAATAATAGTAACAGTTGGTCGGCCGACCGGACGGTGTAGGGAATGGCAGATGGGCAGGATCAGAATGTACTCTGACTGAGTCATGTTTTCGCGCCGTGAGTAGTTTGTGGGGTTACATTGATGTGGACATGGTTCTTCTTGTGCTGTTGCAAACACCTGAGACAAATAATGAGTGACATTCCCACATCAAGCGATGTGACAGGTTGGATGATTCAGATGTCACTCAGGGACGGCAAAGGGAGGTAAACGAGAACCCGAAATGTCAAAGATGTGTTCGATAAATGGCAATGGAAAAGAAGGCTGGTTGGTTCACTTGTGAGAACTCCTCTTGGTGGCAATGAAAAAGCTGTCAGCTGTATGCCTGCGCTGCGGTAACGAAAGCAAGATAGTATCTTCGAGTTGACCGGCTGAAAGAAAGCATATAGAACTTCTGAAAGCTTTTAAGTGATGAATGAACTCAGGATGACCGAATTATTGATTTGGATTGATGTTGTATTTCATTTACACCCACATGTCGCAGGGTGGAAGCGATGGGAATTCATCAACGGAAGACATGACCTGACCAGCATCATCAGATAGTCTTTTGATGCTTGGACAGCACATGAGCGCATTATCAAGGAAGGTATACGGGATTTCAATTATGAACAGCCTTGGGATTTCCATGACGAGGGAGCTGATGATAATCTTGGAACTTTGGGTGGATATGTTTATGAATGCTTGAGTTTTGGCTTCTTCAATCACGCCCCTTCGACCGGATCTTAGTGTTCCACAGTAACATTGCTATTGATGGAAGTGAGTTTTTTACATTGGAGACTCATATTTTTTTTGGATATTTTTGGTATTTTCATTCTGCATCGCCAGCCAGGTTTAGTTGGCAAGCCAAGCCAACTCAACTCTCCGTTTTCCCTTTGTTCTCCTCTTCTTCGTCTTCGGTTGGAACCGACAGGTCCCGCTCTCGGTCCCTGGCGGTATTATTATTGGTACGTTATTTGCTAGTTAGATGTGTGATTCGAGACCAATCCATGTTAGAGTTCAACCCAAGCCAAGTCTGGTTTCTAGGCCCTTGCTTGTATGTGACAACCCTGGAATGTCAGATCGGGGCAGCTGGGAAAGTCCATAATTCAGGCATTATATGTATTTTTGGGTATTACTGATGTGCTTCCGGGGCGTATCGCCAAACCCTTTATTTCCTTTTTTTCTTTTTTTTTTTTCCCCTCGCATAAACGTTCTTCTGTACGCGGCTGTACCTGCAGCTGCAGTGGGGGAAGAAAGGAACTGGCGAGTCAAAGGAAAGCGGACTAGCCAGCTTTCTGAACCAGGCAAAGAAACCTCTCCTGTTGAGTCTTAATTTGCCAAAATATCAGGGATGGGTATCAGGCCGAAACTAGGGCGAAATACGATTTGATTGGCCATGCCCCTGTCAAAAAAATTTATTAGTTCGGCGCCAAACAATGCCCATGGTCAGATATTATTTATTTGTAGAGAACGCAACCATGCTCAGAGATGCATTAACAATGCAAAAATAATGAAGGGGAATATAACAATCCAGATCTTATTATGCGTTGAGTTGAATGTTTGTGTCAATACAAAAGTTGGGAAGAGAAGTTGGCTTTTATTGTTGGAATTTTGAGGTAATATGATATCATCTGTCGGGATTGTTGTGTGATTTTTAGCCCTTATATAGGAAAGAAATGCCAAGATAAGCAAAGAGAGAGATGTCTGTGGCGGTGCAGAATCACTTACCTGCCACAGATCTTGCCTGACTTGGCTGATTTACTTGCAGTCTCACTAACGTAATTCACAAGCGAATTGGACACACAAGTAGACTGGCTGTGTGACCGTGTCTGAGACCAGAACTGGGAATAAGTGTGATTTGAAACTGTGAAAATGTCAGTGCTGATCTCAGATACATTTCAAAGATAGTGATCTCACTTGATCTCAGTTCACATTGTACCTAGTCTGAGTCATATTTTCCAAATGAAATTATGACATATCATTAATGTCTCTTTTTTCTATTGCTTTAATATAAAAGGTGTAAAGTTTACTTAATTGAAAAAATTACTAGCTGATGAGAAGTTATATAATAAAAGAATTAATAAGTCAGAATATGTAATTTAATACTCTTATTCATTAGAGTAACTAATAACTATACATAATACTATATATAAAATTCACTTTCAAATTAAATACAGATATAAAAATGACTGAAAAACATACAGTATTAGTAATGAAAAAACCAGTTATAAAATTTATTAGTTTTTATTTCTTTATTTTTTATCATAATATTCTTCTTTTAATATATATATTTTAATGTTTTAAGTGATTTAATAAACTTATTTACTAGGTTTTTAATAGATGTAATAACTACTGTAATTAAACTAGTCATCAGAATTATGAATTTTACATTTAATTTTATTTCATCTAGTCTTATACATTTCTTAGCATGAATTTCACTGAGACTAATTATTAAAAAAACATGCAAAGTGACTATATATCAGATCTCAAAATGAGATTATAACTTAGAAAAAATAAGAAAGTAATCTCATTTAATCTCATTTAGTCTCATTCTTAATATAAAATTACTATTTTTAGATATTTTACAGTTTTTTTAGACTATTTTTAATTTTTTTAAAAGTAACACTTTTTAATAATACTTAAATAAGATTTAAAGTTATTTAAAGTAATAAAAATAATAGTAGAAATCATGATCTTATTTGAAAACTGTGATAAGAGTAGATAGTAAGTTTTACTGAAACAGTATGAAACTACTATTTAATCTTAAAACTGTGTAATGAGATTAGTTAAATTAATAATGAGATTATTAAATATTTTAATTCTGATCTCAAACACAGTTATATAATCAGTGTAGCTGTGATTATTATCTATAATAATATCTCTAAATTATGTAATTAATTACTATATTAAGCTTTTTATAAATAACTTTATTAATATATCTTTCAACTATTCTATAGATTATAACTCAAATTACATGTTTTTCTTTTTATTATTATTAGTAGTCTTTCACTATAAATGTATACAGTCAGAAACTATAATATTTACCTGAAAACTTTTAGTTTTCAGAGTTTTTCTAGTATCTGTAAAGTTAATTATTATACATTTATCAATTTGTGATTCGGAAGAATGTACAACTGTCGGATAATAACACATTCACTTCTGAACTTGCTTATGAATGTAAAGAGGTCATAGCAGCTACTGATTAATTTAGTATATAATATATAAGAAGTCAGTGTATGTCTGTAATCATACACTGACTCAAGTAATCTTTGAATCATATCTGATAGTATGTCTAAAAACTGATGAGAAGCACAGGCTTCTTCAGAGTGTGATAATTCTGTCTATGAAGTGATTTGTAGTTATCATGTCAGTGTGATTCTAGAACATCTTAAAAGATAGTATATAAAGAGCAGTGAGCAGAAGAGCATTTAATTAATACTGCTTTACTTATAGAGAGAAAACTTCATACTCAGATAAATATCATGTATAATATATAAATAGATGAGATGTGAGAAAGAAGATGAAAGTAATGAATGAGATTCAAAGAAGTTCACTCTCTACTCAAAAGAAGAATAAAAAGAGAAGAGTGATCATCACTGAAGTTGTATAATGATAACAGAAATCATATAACAATATAGTGATATAACAATAGATATTATATAATTAATAAGAAATCACTGAAATGAATATCTTCTCTAGTTAATATAAACAACACTCTTCTCTGCTATCTGAACTGAAAGATATACAGAATCTCTCAGAGAGTTTACTTAAAGTAGTAAGAAAAGCAGCTGAAACTGCTGAATCAGAATCAAAGCTCTGTACATATACAAGAATTCTAAATAAGATTGAGATCTTGTATACACAGTGACAGACTGAGACAGAAGTTAAATAACAATTGATATTCACTGCAGATTAAGTATTCACTATAAAGAGCTTCACTGATGTAATTATCATTATTAATAAGAATAGAAAAAATCAGATCTTAGACCTGCAGCAGAAGATTGAATGTTTATACAGATAGATAACTATACTGAATCTGAAGATTTTATCACAATCATTCATAATCTCTTCAGAAGTGTATACATCATCAGAGACTACTGTACAGAATAAGAATCTGAGTTTGAAATATATTAAGTCAGAAGATCTGCTGAAGTTATTAAGCTTTAATAACATCTGAAAAAATGATGCTGTAATCAGCTGACTAAGTCAGATATGATTATATTATCAGATTAAATATAAACTCATGAACAGAGAGTTAATGAAATTTCAACAAGTCTTAAAATCTGTCACATTTCTATATGAAAAAGCAAAGTTATTATAAATGACTGATAAAAAGATGAATCTTACAGATTTGAAGTGATATTTATTCTTATAAATATGAAATGAGTTTTTCAAATGAATCTTGTATAACTTTGAGAAAGTGAATGTGTAAAATAAGCATTACAAATGCTTCACTGAGTGTAGATAAATAAGTAATCTTATATTATACTTTACACACTTCAGCTTACATTATCTTGTATTAAATAAAGAGCTTTCAATATCTTTCTATTTATAAATCTTCATTCACAGTCTTATATCTGAGTTAAGAGTGAAATGAAAATACTTAATCTTATAGTCAGATACAGTGAAGAAAGTATACAATATTCTTATTATATAAGAATAAGTGAGTTAATTGTGATAGAAAATACTGTAATTGAGTATATCTTAGTGAAGAATAGATAATCAGACTTCTATAATATAAGTTATACATCTGAATATAATAAATCTAGATCTGAATGTTATTACTAAAGTACTGAATTCTCTGAAAAAGAGATTCTCTAAGTGAAAATCTTAATATTATAAGTATTGAGCTTGCTTCAACTGCAGATATCAAAATTATAATATAAAAGATTACACTCAGTGTACACAGTCAAGAGAAGTAAGAGAGTTAAAAAACTAGTAGAATCAGTGAGCTCAGAGACACTCACTGATATTCTATGAAAAGTCTCAAAGTGAAAGAGATATATGTATTAGATGATTCTCTGAATTCTGTGAATATTAAGAAGAAGCAGACTTTTGAATGAAATGTGAATGAGAATGATGAAGTAAATACTTATCTCAATATCTTGAGATCTGAAATATTAATGTATAAGAAGCACTTGAGTAAGAATTAAGAGATGACTGTAAAAGTATTAATGAACACAGAAGCTTCTATATAATATATTAATAATTATATAATCTGAAGACTGAAAGAGATTCACTGAGTGAAGAATCTCTGATACATAAGATTATCTAATAATTAATATTTAATATTACTTATAAGTGTAAGAGTTCTCTTGCACTTCAGAGAATAATCTTGCTATATTTAAGTGTGAGAGCTGCAGAACATGAAATATGATTTTATTCTCAGACTTAATTAATTTTAAAGGTTTAATCTGCAGATTCAATGATGTACATGTCATATATAATTAATTAATAGAAAGAAAATGATTCATATAATTCTATTAACTGATATGAGAAGAACATTTCATATCTCTGATATAGAAGAATTAAATCTGCTTACACATTAATAAGTAAAGAGAACAATTTACAAGACCTCATCTGAAAGCATTCTGTATATTATACAAAACTCAGAAGTGAAGAAAATCAAGATAAAGAATATACAGAAGAATAAGTGTATAAAGAAGCTTCTGAAGAAGTATAAAAAGATCTTCTGAACAGATCTTTCATCAGAATTGCTGCTGAAATAAGAATTCATACATGAGATTGATACAGAGAGTATAAAATCAGTCAATCAGAATATATATTCTCTATTACAAACATATCTTGAAGAATAGAAGTATCAGATCACAGACCTTCTGAAATATAGTCTCATATAACTCTTATCAAGTACATGAGGCTTTCCAGTTCTATTTATAAAAAAGATGAGTGAGAAGTGACAGATGTGTATCAATTATCAAGCACTTAATAAGCTTATAATCAAGAATAAATATTCATTATCATAGATTCAACAACAGTTGAATACAGTTGAAAACCTCTAATATCTATTAAAGATTAATCTTCTCTCAGAATACTGACAGATCTGTATAGATAAACTATCAGTTCTGTGAACTGTGTTTAATATATAATAAGAGAAGTTTGAATTTCTGATAATACTATTCAGTCTAATAAATGTGTTTGTCATCTTTCAAATGATGATGAATATAATTCTTCATAAATAGAATGAAATCTCATGTCTTATATATCTTAATGACATTCTAGTCTTTTCAAACTTATATAATGAATATTTGAAGTATCTTGATAAAGTGCTTATAACTCTGACAGAGTATAAGCTCTACATCAAATCAACAAAGTATATGTTTAAAATAGAAGAGTTGAAGTTTATAGAATACATAGTGAGTGATGACTGTATACACTTTATCTCAGAGAAATTGAATGTTATAGTGAATTAATCATAGTTAAGAAATATATATCATGTATAACAGTTTTCTGAGTTGATCTCATACTACTGTAGATTTATTAAGAATTTCACATGAATATCTGTATCACTCTCAGATCTCTTAAGAGAAATAAATGCAAATCTGTGAAAGAAGAAGTTTCATTCAATTATCTGAAATGCTGTGTGTGAAGAGGCTTTTCTCATACTGAGAAAATGTATAATAACATTCTCAGTGCTTATTTAACTAGATTGTGATAAATCTTTCTACATTAAGATAGATGCATCTGAATGAGCTATCAGAGACACTCTTCTACAGATGAGTAAGAACAGCAAGCTGCATCTGATAACATATAATAATAGAAAACTATCAGATGCTGAGCTCAATTACTCAGTGTATGAAAAGAAATTACTAGTGATTAAGCACACACTGATATTATAGAATAGATATATTAATAATGAGTATATAATAACAGTGATTACAGATTATGAAAGTCTTATCTATCTATAATTAATAATAAAACCTTTCAAACACTTAGCATGTTGAATCTCAGAGTTTCAAGTGTATAATTTTCATATTAAATACTGAAAGAGATCAGATACTGTGATATCTGATACAATCAGTTACAGACCTGATTTCATGAGTGAGGATTCTGTAAATCAGATATAAGAGTAGTTCATAATAAACATGCTGAGAGAGTGTAAGAAATCAGAATAAGTGAATACAATGATCTCTCACTTGAAGAATAATAAGATATCAGATGACAAGTATCTTGTAAAAGTAGTAGAAGAGATGCTTTCAAACTTTAAGCTGAGAAAATTGAAAAAGAATGTTATGCTTTATTATGATCTTGAATATGCAGAAGCTCTCTATCTAGAATATTCATTTAGATGTGACTTAGTAAGTTAGTAGATCACATGCATAAGAAATTCAGTTACTTAGAAAGCTCTGAACTTATAAATGTACTTGAATCAAGAGTATACTAACTGAGCATGACTGAGAACATTCAGATATATACTCATAAGTGTCTGAATTATCAGGTTATAAAACAATCTAAGAAAGGGTTAGAATATAAGAAAGTGTAATATCAGATAAAGTATATGATATAATCATTCAAATAATGAAGAATGAATCTCATAGATATATTACTGTGAATATCAAATGAAAATCAATGAATAATCACTGCTATTGATTACACTACTGACTGATTAGTCATGAAAGCAGTTTCAGAGATAACAGAGAAGATGATGATGAAGTTTCTACATAATGAAATCTATATTAACTATGAAATATCATGTGAGATTCTAACTAATAACAGTGCAAATCTTGTAGAAGAAGTAGTGAGGCATTTTATAAGTCAGTTACAGATAAGATATTATAGAGCAATGTTATATCATCTACAGATAAATAGAAAGATGAAATACTTGAATGAAATCTTGAGCAATATGCTGATGAAATATCTAGTGAGCAAGTCTATGAGACTATGAGATGAATATCTCAGACAGACACTATTAATCACACGGATTTGACAGCATGCAGTCTTCAAGTGTTCATCATTCTATCTGTTGTATGAATTGCATCCGCGCATCTCAGAGAATGCTTTGAAAAAGATGGAAAAGAAAACAGCAGTTGTGAACACAACAGTTATAGACATAACAGTTGCAGACATAGCAGAAACAGCAGTTACAGATACAGCAGTAGCAGTTGCAGATGCAACAGTCATAGACACAGAATCAAGATTGAAAGAGATCAGTCACACACATGTAAAGGCTAATAAGTTACTTCTGAATCAAGCAATTCAATCAAAAAGAATATGAGACTCACTAGTTAAGAAATCAAGTCTCAAGATGAGAATGTGAGTTCTTATATATAATGAGAGTTCTGAGAAGTTTCAATCTAGATGATTTAAGTCATATAAAATACTCAAATCACATTCTCTGAGAATATATACATTGAAAGAATCAGAGAGACAGATCTTACACAACTTAATAAATAATTCATAACTTATAAAAGCAAAGATGCAAGATCTGAGCAGATTATAATCATTCACAGCACTATCATCAGTGTTGAAAAAGAAGAGACTTATAATTGAAAAGTCTTACAAAGTAAGAGAAATCATAGACACTTATAAATCAGATAATCTCACTTATTCTGATCTTTTCATAATTATAAGAAAAGAATGAGAAGTAATGAAGGAATCAGATGAATATCACACTTTAATAAGTGATAAAACTGTAGCTGATTATATGATAACATGTCACAGACAGTGAGTGTAATGTAGTAAAGAGTAGTCTCAAAGCAGCAGACTTACACATGAATCAGATCACAGAAGAAAAAGAAATTCAGAGTTGAATTTAACTGTTTATATCAGTTTAATTGTGAAGATTACAGAGAATGAACTATCTGAAACATCTGCAGATATATAAGACCAAGTTATCTCAATCTCTGAGAATGCTCAGAGATCAGATGAGATTAGTTTTAATGAGCTATTCACTGTAGTAATCTGAGTGAGTGAAGAGAGACAGTATAATGCATGAGACAGAATTACAAAAGATGAAAGCTGCTGAATCTAGTCATTAAACACTATACTATATAGAGATTGTATAAGAGTAGTGACTAGCAGATAAAGAAAAAGTGTAAGAAAAGAAAAGAGATAATGATTTAATCATCAACTGTAAGAGTCAGTTATAAAAGATAAATATTATTATATACATCTCATTCATTTTTATATACTACATGTTTAATCTATTTTCAATGTTATATAGACTGACCGTGTGACCGTGTCTGAGACCAGAATCAAACTTTATAGTTATTATATTGTCTAAAAGCATTACTTCTGATCATGATTTGTGTTCATTACATTAATTTCAAATCATGTTATTTCAAATATTAAAGATCTCAGATTCACTTTTCAAATAAAAATCTAGTTTTAAATAAAGAATATATTTGAATTCTTAGTCACATTTTCATTCTGATCTCATTTTTGAAAATGACATTAAATAAGATCATAAAATCATTTCTTACTTACATAATATTATAACATAGTACTCATTTATTGAAAATTTAACAGAGAGTATTATTAAATATCATTACTTTTCTAAACACAGATTATAATTAATATCATTTTAATTAAAAAAAAATATATAAAATACAAAAAATAATAAAAAAATAAAAAAATAAAAAGTAAAATAACAAGAAAAAATCACAACAAAAAAAAAGAGAAAGAAAAAAAGAAGAGAAAGAAAAAAAGAGAAAGAAAGAGAAAGAAAAAAAAAAAGAAAAGAAAAAGAAAAAAATAAAAAATAAAAAAAAAAAAATCAAGATTGCAGAACTACAGTATTCTTAAAATACTTACTTCTCAGAGTCTTTACAATATTCATCATCAACTTTGTATCTCTCACAGTGAGAATAACACAGCTGTAGACTGACTGCTGAGACTATGAATTTCATGTTTAATCTCATTTAATCTGATCTCATACATTTCTTAGCGTGAATCCCGCTGAGACTGACTATCAAAAAAACATGCAAAGTGACTATATATCAGATTTTAAAATGAAATCATGACTTGAAAAAAATGAGAAAGTGATTTCATTTGATTTCATTTAGTCTCATTCTTGATATAAAGTTACTATTTTTAGACATTTTAAGGTTTTTTTTAGACTATTTTTAATTTTTTAAAAAGTAACACTTTTTGATAACACTTAAATGAGATTTAAAGTCATTTAAAGCAATAAAAATAATTTAAATTGAGAAGTGAAAATCATGATTCTATTTGAAAAATGTGACAAGAGTAGACAGTAAGTCTCACTGAGACAGTATGAAACTACTATCTAATGTTAAAACCGTGTAATGAGATCAGTTGAATTGATAATGAAACTATCATAAAATCTGATTCTGATCTCAGACACGGTTACATAGTCAGTCTATATAGCTAGACTGACTGTGTGATCATGTCTGAAATCAGAATCAAACTTTACAGTTATTATATTATCTAAAAGCATTACTTCTGATCATGATTTGTGTTCATCACATTGATCTCAAATTCTGTTATTTCAAATATTAAAGATCTCAGATTCACTTTTCAAATAAAAATCTAGTCTCAGATAAAGAATATATTTAAATTCTTAGTCACATTTTCATTCTGATCTCATTATTGAAAATGACATTAAATAAGATTATAAAATTATTTCTCACTTACATAATATTATAATATAGTACTCATTTGTTGAAAATTCAATAGAGAGTTTTATCAAATATCATTACTTTTCTGAACACAGATTATAATCAATATCATTTTAATTTAAAAAAAATGTAAAATATAAAAAATAATAAAAAAATAAAAAATAAAATAATAAGAAAAAATCACAACAAAAAAAAAAAAAAAAGAGAGAGAAAGAAAAAAAGAAGAGAAAGAAAAAAAGAGATAGAAAGAGAAAGAAAAATAAATAAAAAAAAAGAAAAGAAAAAGAAAAAAATAAAAAATAAAAATAAAAAAAAATCAAGATCACAGAGCTGCAGCTCTTCTAAAATACTTACTTCTCAGAGTCTTTACAATATTTATTATCAACTGTGTATCTCTCACAGTGAGAGTAATACAGCTGTAATAAGTTATTATCTTAACATCATCTAATAAATAATTAGTATATATCTATATAAATGTGAATAATTAGAAAATATACACTTAAAAAGTGTGATCAGAGTGAACTCTGCTATCACTTGAATGATATTAAGAGCAGAACACTGAAATTAATGATTTCTCTCATTGATTTCACAGACAAGATGTGTGAAGATGATCTTAAGAAATATAAGATTCTCTGACTTCTAATAGAAACAGATCTTATGAAGAGACTCTATTTTCATTATATCAGAGACTGAGTATTATCAAAAAGCATTACTTTAATATATATATACTTACTGTGACAATTCACTCTCTGCACATGTGACTGAGAGTTATGACTTTCTCACACTGCACAGCTCTCTCTGAGATGCTGCTGTCAGTTTGCAACTCACACAGTCTCTCAGTTCAGTATACACTGTGTATATACAGCTCTGCATACTGAGGTCATATTAATCATTATAATCTGATATGATACTCACTTTTTGCAGGCTATATTTCATTTGATTGAGAGAAGAGAGAGACACAACTGCTGTTTTATTTAAGAGAAGATAAATAATTGAATCTGTAGAAGATAATTTGATTTCTTCTGTATTTAAAATTTGATTAGTTTATACTCTTCAATTTAAGAGTTTCTGAGAGTGTTTTAATAGTTTTCATATCAGCTTGAAATTAGTGATTAATTGAAGAAGAGAAAAGAGAGAAGAAAGAAATAAGAATAACTTATCTTTATAATATGAAAACAGAGAATTGCTGTAATCATTTATTCTAGTAATAAAGATCTGTTTTTTGCATGTATCTCTGATACAGATTATATGATAACTATATACAAGAAATATCAACAGTGTATGTATTGAATAAAGATGATATTACTATGTAACACTGTAGCTGTTTCTGTACATCACTGAAAGCTGTTAATATTTTCTTTAAGTCTCTTTATATTTAATAAGTCAGTAATATATTTCAATGCACTCTCTCTTTCATCATTATTATCATTATTATCATTATTATCATCATTATTATTATTATCATCACTATTATCATTATTATCATCATTATTATCATCATTATTATTATTATTATTATTATATTATTTCTGATCATCTCTTCTATCTTTATCTCTCTTCAATACTCACTGAAATCAATTATATCATCTCTCTTCAAATATTCTGCGGTCCTGCAGATCATCAAGGCGCGTGAGTACTGTCACAGATTGAAGAAAGAGAAGAAGAAGATATTTAAGTAAGAAGAGACAGATTATAAGATATATTATAATGCCTTGAAGAGACTCTGTAAGAAAGTAAAATAATAACAATTTTAAGTAACACTTCTGATAGATTTAGACTGAACTAAGTATAGAAATAATACAGATAATATCATCTGTGAGAGATTGAAGAAGAAGATAGTGAAGAGTCTTATATAGTAGTAGTAAGATCAGAAGAAGTTCTGAGAATGATTTAAGACTAAGATGAAGAGAGAGAGAGAAAAGAAGAGTATTACTGTAAATAAGTAATAGCAGAAGAAGATTGAGAGAATATTAAAGTAGAAGATAAAGAAGTTAAAACTGATAAGTTTTTTATTTATTAAATGATAATAATTTTTGATAATGCTTCTGTTCTCTAATTGATTAGCAGAAGCTGATAGAGAAGAAGAGAATTAAGACCTTGTTCAGATCTTGAATATGCTTCATGATTCAGAATATTAAGAAGACAGCTCTGCTCTCTGAGCATATCAATCTACTTACTACTGAGATGGAACCCGAGGCAGCAGATTGAAAAATGCAGGATTTTGAAGCACAGATTGACCTGGCTGAGAGAGAGCAGTAAGAACTCTTCTCTGAGAAGGCAGTGAAGAGAGATTTTGAGATGATTATCATCTCAGATGAGAAGAAGAAGAAGAAGAAGAAGAAGAAGAAGTAAATTATAAAGAATAATAAGAAGAATGAGAAA